CCGGGAGGGGGTGTGGAGGCTCTTTATTCTGGGGGACCCCCTCCCCACCTTGTATGGGCCTTGTCTCCTCGGATGCCCAAACAAACGTCTCTGTCCACTCCCATTCAACAATCTACTCATTAGTGGGAAGCGGTTCACATGCAGTCCCGCTAACTACCCTAGGAAGGCAGTAAAAATTAATAAGGAACTACAGTTTAATTGTTCCATAATGGCGTGGAGTTGCAAAGGGCCCTCTTGAGTAATAAAATGAACATGGAAACGCGTTCAGTGGCGGCGCCGCCCCTCGGCCCGCATGGCTCATTCATCTGCCCAGGCTTGGGGCAGCGGTGAAGCAGCCCGGATGTAACTCTGGGCGTCTTCCCGACGACCCCAAACACCACAGGAAGTGTCCCCCCGTGTTCGGTGAGTGGTGGGTGAAGCGCAGAGGGCCCTGCCCACGTGCACACACGCACACGCGCACGCGTGTGCACGCACGCACACGCCACAGTAAAGTTGTCCTATGTTCCTTCAATGCATCGTGGGGAGGAACCTCCCCAAAGAGCAGGTGGGAACTCAGGGCCGCCATCAAAGCACATCCTAGCACATCCTAGAACATTCTAGAACATCTCAGAAGTGGACTTCAGCTATGATACCATCCTTTCCCGTTGCAATTCATCTCTCTATTCCAGAGCCTCTCGGGGTAAAGGAAGATGATGGTCTTCAAATAGATCCAAAGAGCTGAGCCCAAAGCCCGTGGCTCCCAGCTGGAACCGCAAGGAAACCAGACCTGTCGGTGAGGTTTATTCTCCAGGCTGCCTGGACAGCCAGGGCCAGGCCTCTCCCAGAGCTGGATCCTCTCTGGCCCCAGTGCCATGTCCCCAGACTTGGATGCACACAGAGACAGACAGACAGCTACATCTGTTTCCAGCATCAGTGCGATGTTCAGCCATGTGCTTTGGAAATCAAGCCAGAGGATGGTAGGCTTTATCAGGAGATACAGGCCCTGCCCTGGAGGAGGAGGGGGTGGAGGGGGAGGAGGAGGAAAGGGAGGGAAGGAAGGAAGGAAGGAAGGAAGGAAGGAAGGAAGGAAGGAAGGAAGGAAGGAAGGAAGGAAGGAGGGAGGGAGGGATAGAGGGAGGCAGGGAGGGAGGGAGGAGAGGGAAGGAAAGAAGGGAAGGAGGGAGGAAGGAAGAGAGGGAGGGAAGGAAAGGGAAGGAAGGAAGGAGGGAGGGAGGGAGGGAGGGGAGAGGGAGAGAGGGAGGGAGGGAAGGAAGGAAAAGAGGAAGGAGAGAGAGAGAAAGGGAATGAGGAGAAGGAGGAGAAGAAGAAGAAAGAAGAAGAGAGGCACCGGTGGCTCATGCCTGTCATCCTCGCTACTCAGGAGGCTGAGATCTGAGGATCACAGTCCAAAGCCAGCCCAGGCAGGAAAGTCCATGAGATTCAGATTTCCAATGAAGCAGCAGAAAACCAGAAGCAGACCTGTAGCTCAAAATGGTGGAGCACTAGCCTTGAGCGAAAGAGCTGAGGGACAGCACTCGGGCCCTGAGTTCAAGCCCCACAACCAACAAAAGGAGAAGGAAATAAGGGGGGGAGGAGGAGGAGGAGGAGGAAGAGAAGGAGGAGGAAAGAAGAAGAGAGAAAAGGAAGAAGGGAAGCAAAAAGAACCTTCTAGATCCTCCTCCCTACCCCCACGCCAAGCAGCGCCATGTCCAGACTCTGCGGGGGCTTCAGTGGGGTGCTGGGCTCCAGGAAAAGGGGGATTTACTGCGTTTCGGGGGGACTTGGGCCTCCCCTCACCAACCTCCCCCGTGGACTCCACAGGCCTCACCCAGCCCTTCCATGCAGACGCCCCGGGGGCCCAAGCTGAGCCCAGAGGAGTTGCTTTTCCTAAGCCAGGTCGCACAGCAACACGTGAGGAACATAGGCTGAAGACGACCAAACACATTCCGGAGACTTCCAGAAGGTTTGCTCTAACCCAGCCCTACTGCTTGGTTATAGGCAAAACCCAAAAACAAAGCCTTTTTACATTTTCTGCTCAGACACTGGCCGGCACAGGGACACCGGGCACCATGCCATGGGCAAGGTAAAGCAGAGCAGGCGTGTTTGAAGGGAGCCTCCCGGGACGTGGCGGGTTCAAACCCCGGCCTGTTGTACCAGCTTGGCCTGCAAACTTGCTTGGCTCCAATCCCTTTGGCCTTGGCCGTGGCACGGCTGCCCTCTACTGGCCGCGATTCTAATTGCGGCCGCATCTCCTGCAGCCCACAAATGAAGGAGATGCAAAGATGCATGAACTTCAGGAAGGATAAAAAGCCATTTGCATCTCTCTCTCTCTCTCTCTCTCTCTCTCTCTCTCTCTCTCTGTAAAAGCAAACCCGATGGTGATGAACAGGAAAAAAAATTCAACATCACTCTCAAAATACACACACACATACACACACACACACACACACACACACACACACACACACCTATGTTTGTCATAGTTGGGAAGAAATCTGAAGCCCAGCACCAAAGATCCACAGGTGAAAAACAGATCACATATGGCTGAGGTGGGTGTTCGTGGCAATAAGGAGTCTTGGGGGACTTCCAGGGCAGGAAGGAGATGGCATGATCCCAAAGTGTCCCCAACCAATTCAGAGTCCCGCCCCACCCCACCCCCGCCGTGAAAACCCATTGGCGTGAGCGTAGGGATGAGATCACCAGTGGGCGTGCGTGGCGGGACTTCATTCGCTTAAAGATAAACAGAGCGACCGCAGCAGGGAAGGCTGAGCCCCTGCACGTGGAAGGGAGAATTTTCTAGATGAATCTTCAGATCCCTCTGGACAGGAAAGGCACAGAGACTTCAGGGGGCAGAGGCAGGCTCCCTGAAAATCACCCCCAAATGCTCAGAGGTGGGCAGGGCCCTCTGGTTGGTCAGTCTTCCCGAGGGACAAGCAGGTTGGGAGGGGGCATGGGGGACACTAGCCCCCCCCCGTACCCCCCTTGTAAAGGAAGGATCTTGGAGTGGCTCATGTGGAAAGTGCGGTTTTGGGGTGTCACGGTGGATGGAAAGGGAGAGAAGCAGGAAGAAGCCTTTTTCTCTCTCATAAGAGAACCGAGTCTCAGGTTTAGGGGACTCACACTCAGAATGTTGGGGCACACACCCTAAACACACAATCCACAATGCCACCATGGCCGGGCGCTGGTGGCTCCCGCCTGTCATCCTAGCTACTCAGGAGGCTGAGACCTGAGGATCACAGCTTGAAGCCAGCCTAGGCAGCAAAGTCTGTGAGAATCTGTCTCCAGTGAACCCCCAAAAAGCTCACAGTGGCGCTGTGGCTCAAGTGGTAAAGCACTGGCCTTGAGCCAAAAAGCTCAGGGACAGCGCCCAGGACATAAGTTCAAGCCCAGGACTGGGGTGTATGCATGCACACTCACACACACACACACACACACACACACATACACACACACACATCACCTTTAAAGTCTCTCCCAGCAAGGCAACGGTGACCCTCCATGAGCGTGACATGAATGACACAGATAACGCCACCACCACGGGATGTTTCTCTTTTCCCCGGAAGATGGACGCTGTCGGTAAGGTTCGTCTCTTTTTCCTTTCTTCTTCTTCAAAAATCTTATTAAACTTTCCCTTTCGCGGCCGCCCGTATCTCTGCTGAAATGGAGCGGATGCCAGTTGCCATGGTGATGGGTGAATCTTAAATAACAGGGCTCCAGAGCCGGGCTCGGGCTGCTCCTGCCCCAGGCAGGAAGCCATGAGGGAAAGAGAAGGAGGGAGACAGGGGGAAGCGGGGGAGCTGGTGGGCACACCCCAGGAAACCGCCTTTCCCCTGTGTTCCCTTACCCTGGGAGCAGACCCCCGGGGGAATCGAGGCCCAGAAAGAAAAGAAACTGAGACACCTCGCCCATCCAGGACAGGCTGAGATCTGAGGATCGAGGTGCAAAGCCAGCCCAGACAAGAAAAATCTGTGAGAATCTTATCTCCATTAGCCACCAGCAAGCCAGAAGTGGAGGTGTGGCTCAAGTGGTAGAGCACCAACCTTGAACCCTGAGTTCAACCTCCCAATACTGGCACAAAGACAAAGAAGGAAGGAAGGAAGGAAGGAAGGAACTTGAGCTTACTCAACTTGCTTGCTCAACTGGTGCTCTACCACTTGAGCCATGCCTCCATCCTGGCTTTTTGCTGGTTGGGGTCTCCATTTGAGGCCTGGGCTGGCTTCAACCTGGGATCCTTCAGATCTCAGCCTCCTGAAGCAGCTGGAATTCTAGGCCTGAGGCCCTGGCAGCCAGCAGGAAACCCCTGCAGCAAACACTTCCACGCTGTGAGTCAGCCCCACGCCCCACGCCCCTACACTTGCTGATCCAATCACCAGCTGTCAGTCTGTGGGGAACAAGTGATTTGCTCTGGGGTCTAGGGAACACCCAACCCTTGGGTCACCTAGCTTACCAAACAATACTGGGGGTCCATGAATAAGGAGAGAGAGAAGGAAAAGCCCACAGTCCACAGCCCTGTCCCCACTTTGCTGTAACTTGATGAGGAAACATGTTCCCCCATCTCCCCCAGCGAACCCCACCCCCCACCCCGCCCCAGCCTCACGTACGCCATGAAGCATGTCGGTTTTCACCCAGGTTGATAGACAATTTGATTGTGGAATTGTCAGCTCAAGAACTCCTGAATTGCTTCATTCTTTCTCCTGTCAGTGATCCTCATTTCACACACACACACACACACCCCTGTGGGCTGGACTGTATAAAGATCACTGAAATCCACTGATGAAAATCTACGGTCCTAAAGACCCACAGCCCTGGTCCACTGGGTTTTCGAATCTGTGAGTTCGGAAGGAAGCGGGCGGCTGGCTTTTAGTTGTGGTAATCTACGGCCTCGTTCAGCAGCGAAGGTGGCGTTTGACAAGGATTAAGTTCAGTAGATCTGAGAGGACTTGAAACCAGGCAGCACTGCGTTGGGTGTTTTAAGATGTAGCTTTCCCGATGGGTAGAGGGACTCATACCTGTAATCCCAGTGACTCCAGAGATGAACATGGAGAGAACTGCAGTTCAAGGTCAGCCTGAGCAAAAGTTTGTGAGACTCCATCTCCAGGATGCGGTGGTTCCCACGCATGATCCTAGCTGCATGGGGCGGGGGGGAGAAGATCTTCACCCCAGGAGGGTCCCCAGCGAAAGCACAGGCCCCCACATGGAGACCCTACTGGAAGGACTTGACCCTCTTTCAGTTGACCATGTCTATACAAGGCCTTCAAAACCTTTGCATACTGGGCTGGAGATATGGCTCATGTGGTAGCATGCCAGCATGCCAAGCATGAGGCCCTGAGTTCAAGTCCCCGCACCGCCAAAACCAAAGCTTGCTCATTTTCAGAAGAGATAATGCACGTAGAGCTACAAAACCTTCTGTATCCTTCTCTCTGGGAGAGATGAGGTAGGGTGGCAAAATCCATGGGGTGTGTGTGTGTGTGTGTGTGTGTGTGTGTGCTGGTCCTGGGTCTTGAACTCAGGGCCTGGGCACTGTCCTTTAGCTTTTCCTTCTCAAGGCTGGCGCTCTACCACTTCAACCACAGCCCCTCCAACCTTTTTTGGGGGGTGGGGTCAGAGCGTGGGGCCTGAACTCTGGGCCTGGGCGCTGTCCCTCAGCACTTCAGCTCAAGGCTAGCGCTCTACCACTTGAGCCACAGCGCCACTTCCGGCTTTTTTTCTTTTTTCTTATGTGGTGCTGAGGAATCGAACCCAGGGCCTCGAGCATGCAAGGCAAGCGCTCTACCACTGAGCCACCTCCCCAGCCCCTCCTCCAACCTTTTGATGGTTAATTAGAGATAAGCTTTTTTTTTTCTTGCCTGGGCAGCCTTCAAACCTCCATCCTTACATCCTTAGATCTCCGGAGTGTCTGGGATTACAGGCGTGAGCTGCTGGCACCCAGCTTTTGTTGATCTTTATTTCGAAACCATGCATCTTAAAAAGCAATCAGCGAGGTGGTGAAGGAAATGCAAATAAAGACAACCCTGAGATACCACCTTACCCCAGTCAGAATGTCCCACATCCACAAATCAGCCAAGGACAAATGCTGGAGGGGATGTGGAGAAAGAGGAACCCTATTACACTGCTGGTGGGAATGTACACTTATACAACCACTTTGGAAAGCAGTCTGGAGGGTCCTTAGAAAGCTAAAGATTGACCTCCCTTACGACCCAGTCATACCACTTCTAGGCATCTACCCTGAACAACAGGAACCAATATACAAGGACACGTGCACCTCCATGTTTATTGCAGCACTGTTCACAATAGCTAGGATATGGAAACAACCTAGGTGCCCCACCACAGATGAATGGATCCAAAAATTGTGGTATCTATACACAATGGAATATTATGCAGCCATTAGAAATGACAAAATAATGGCATTTGCAGGGAAATGGATGGAGCTAGAAGGAATCATGTTGAGCGAGGTAAGCCAAGAACGAAGAGACAAATGGTACATGGTCTCCCTCATAAGTGGATGCTAAATCCAAAAGGTTAGGTGATACGACAAAACTAACAGGACTTAAGAAACAAAGAACTCCCGCTCATCTGGTTGAACCACTACTAAATATCCTCATGCTGCTGATCACAAATATAGTACATAACATGTGAACACTGTTATATATTACAGACTGTGGTAGACAATTTGCTCCAGGGAAGTTAGAATGAACTTGTGACTTTGAAATTATGTAATCATTTAATCACAATCAAAAAAAAAAAAAGAACCTCGGGGAAGGGAGGGAGGGAGGGGATGGTAGGGGGAAAACAATGGAGGGGGTAACAATGTTCAAGAGGAAGTGTACTCATTACCTCACTCATGTAACTGTAACCCTCTGTATAGTAGCTTTACAATAAAAAAAAAAAAAAAGCAATCAGCGAGCTCACTAGGCATTACGTTGGAAATGAACCATACAACTTGTGGGTGGAGATGGGAGGGGGGAAAAAACTGGGAGAGAACGAGGGAAGAGGTGAGATTGTCCAAAAGGAAATGTACTCTTTCCTTGACTCATGTAACTGTAACGCTCTGTGCATCACCTTTACAACAGCAAGAAAATACCTTGGCAGTCCACGCGAAAGCCTAGAGTTGTACACACTCTTCTTTCCATCTGGTCCGCTCCCTGCGAGACAGTGCTGCGTGTCTCAGCCGTCATTAAAGCGATTGTCCCCAGGAGTCTCCGAGAACAGCATGGACCGCACTTAGTTCCGGCTCTGACTTACCACTGGCAATCAATAAATGCAAACGAGAGAGGCGGCGCCGGCGGCTAGTGGCTTGCTGAAATAGTTTGCGTTGTGGGGGGGAGGCCCCCACACACCCACTGGGCATAGAATGGAGCCCCCCCGGGAACGCACGTCCCCGGGTCCTCCTGTCTGTGTCTTCCAAGCATCTCACCTGCCAGCTCCACCAGCAGAGCCCGCGTCCCCCGGGCTGCGACGTCTGAGATATCCCAGCTGAAGAACTGAACTGCACGCGTCTGACGTTGACACGACCCATGGAATTCAGTTCTCAAAGCTGGGGATACAAACACACACAGGCTCCTAGAGTCCCCTCCTCACGGTCCAGGCCGGCCCGGCCTTCGGCGACATGGAAGAGGAAAAACAAACAAATAAGAAGCAGGTTAAAAAACAAAACCAGACAAAAAAATCCAGAGCAGCTGCATTCCCCTGGAAAAGAGACACCCGGTCTGCATACTCACTACCACTGGTGTGGCACACACCTGTAATCCCTGCATGCAGACACCCAGGCAAGGGGGCCTGGAGTTCCAGGTCAGTTTGGACTACATAGCTTAAGCATACCCTGTTTCAAAAGAAAAAGGGCAAAAGAAAAAAAAAATCCTACAATCCTAGCTACTGAGAACAGGCTGAGATCTAAGGCACTGGAATGTAAAGACAGTGTGGGCAGAAAAATCTGTGAGACTCTTATCTCCAGTTAAGCAGCAAAAAGTTGGAAGGAGAGGTGTGGCTCAAGTGGGTAGGGAACCAGCCTCGAGTTAAAAAAAAAAAAAAATACAAGCTGAGCACCAGTGGCTCACGCCTGTCATCCTAGCTACTCAGGAGGCTGAGATCTGAGGATCATGGTTCAAAGCCAGCCCAGGTAGGAAAAGTTCGTGAGACTCTTATCTCCAATGAACCACCAGAAAACCGTTAGTGGCACTGTGGCTCAAGTGGTAGAGCACCAGCCTTGAGCTGAAGAGCTGAGGGACAGTGCCCAGGCCCAGAGTTCAAACCCCACAACTGACAAAAAAAAAAAAATTCATCATCATCAGCAGCAGCAGCAGCAGCAGCAGCAACATTCCGCATGAAAGGTTTCCTCACAGCCCAGCTCCCTGGTCTGGAAAACTCCATCTGCCCTGAGGTCCTTCCCTTCCCTGTCACTCCTCAGAGTCTGTCTGCCACCTGCCCGAGATGCGGCCTCGGCTCCCGCATGAATAGAACCCCGCATGCGGTCTCGGACACTCGCTCACCCGGCACTAAGACTTCACTTCCGAGTGGTCCAGCTGTCTATGCCCTCCACCCCTGCTCACCGGAGGACGAGATGTAGACCAGAAGTGCAGCACACCGGCCCGGCCCCTTCCGGGCCCAGCGCTGCTGTACCTGCACTGCTTCATCGAGAGAAGTTGGGGGGGGCGGGTATTCTCTATTATACCCATTGATTCTATCCAGGCAGAAATCTCTTTATCCCCTACACACGGCTCTTCGCCTTCATCCTGCTGTCACCTGTAACTGCTAGACCCTCTCCTAAAATTCCCTGGTTAACAGCATCTTTCCTGGATTATTATTTTCTGCAAGGGCAGAGCTCACGATCATCGTGTTATATAACATTACATATACTATATAACACGCATATAATCATATATAATATATAAATATTATCTGATTATATAGACCGTGTTTATCACATCTAATGTGTGCTTATATAATGAGTTTTTGAACTAGAACTCACCCACCACCCAATTCACCAACTTACAGTGTTCAATTCATCATCCTTTACTACGTGGGCCGTATATCTGATCCCTAGCACCCAAAAGAACAGAGAAAAAAAAAAAAAAGAAAATGTTGACTCTTGTACTCATAAGCAAAGTGAATTGAAGCCGGGTGTGGCGGTCCACATCTGTAAGCCCAGCACTTGGAAGCAGGAAGCCGTGAGTTCAAGGCCAGCCTGGACTACATAGAGAAACCCTGTTTCCAAAAACCACAGGACACAATATTATTTTCCGAGGCTGTCAACGCAGCTCCTTGGGAGGCAGAGATCGTGGTTCAAGGCCAGCAGGGCAAAAAGTTAGCAAGATTCCCCCTTCTCAACAAACAAAAAGCTGGGTGTAGCGGCATATACTTGTCATAGCCCTGCAGCAGGTATACAGATGTCCAGGCCAGCCTAGAAAAACAAGAGAAAACCCTATATTAAACAACAACAAAAAGTAAAGCAAAAAAGAGTCAAGCACCAGAGACTCACATCTGTCATCCTAGGAGGCTGAGATCTGAGGATCAGGGTTCGAAGCCAGCCCTGGCAGGAAAGTCTGTGTGACTCTTATCTCCAATAGAGTACAAAAAAAAAAAAAACCAGAAGTGGAGCTGTGGCTCAAGTGGTGCAGTGCTAGCTTTGAGCCAAAGAAAAGAAACTAAACCAGGGACAGCACCCAGGCCCTGAGTTCAAACCCCAGGACTGAGCTCCGGGAGGGGGGAATAAGTCAAGTGGTACAGCGAGTACCGGGCCCTGAGTTCAAATCCCAGGACCACCAAAACCAAAAATGTCTACGGAGATTCCAGCAGCACCTACTTCATCTCTGCCCTAGCTCACAGCCCTTCCTTGGTTCCACCTGCCCAGCACCAGCTCCATGCTCTCTGGGCCCAGCGCCCTCGGCCAAGCCTGCAGGCATTTTCTGCTCACGCTGCGGCCCGTCTGCTTCCCTGCTTCCCCTCTCCTTCCACGTGGAGGAAGGGCACTGGCCAGGGGGGCCTGAGCTAGGCATGCGGGATGGGAACTCCACACAATCCAAGTGTACTGCCCTG